ATATTTACTGAGAAAAATGGTGACGTGTTCAATACTTATTTTACCCGCTGTAACTATCACACCGAATTTGAGCCCAATATATGTTACAATGACTGTCATAAGAAATAGTTTCAAATTTGTTTAACACTACTGCCTTTGGGCCAGCATGACCCACAAGGCCTCATTACCCATGTTTACATGTGCAAAATTCTTTGATCAAATTGAAATGCATTCAGATTAAATAATCTGAATGTATTGTTTACATGGACACAATCTGATCATGAGTGTTTACATGCAGCAGCAGGCTTTTATTCAGAATAGAAGCACTGACGTGCAGAGTTCTTAACTTACCTTAAAAAACACAGAAAATAGTTCTACTTCCATCATGAACATAAACAAACAGCTTCTGAGCTCAGAATGAACCTGCACAGGTTTTAATAATGGTAGAGACRTTACTGCACTCTCTGGTTCAGCTGCAGGGGACGCACAGACTTTTTAAATATTTTTTTTGTGAAGCGGCGCCGGCTGTGTCTTTTTTACTGAATGAGAGAATGGGAGGAAAGGTTCTTCTGTGCTGCTGGAAACAGCACTGCTGCTCCTCCCTCAAAAGAGCAGAGACTGCTGAATGAAAGTCAGCAGACATGCACAGTCAGGTCAGTTTTCCATCGTCAGAATAAGATGATCAGATTAAGTGTTTACATGTTTACATGTCCATGTAAACGAAGCCGGTGTTGAGACTAAAACCTCTTGGAACATTTTGACCTAAGGGCAGCAGGAGGGTTGAGGTCAGTTAGCTGTAGCAACCATCTTGAATCAAATGAATGCTGAAAGTTATCCAGTTAAAAATGTTTCTCTTGATTACTTTCTGAAAGTTTCATTAAAACTCCTCCTGTGGATTATGCACACACACAAACACACTGGCTACATTTACATGGACATAAGTAATCAGATTAAACGGCCATTCGGAATAAAAATGCGTAATGTAAACATCCCATTCTTCCCATTCTTAATTTATCAGAATGAGAGAGGTGGTTTATGCCGATTGATAATCCGAAAAGTGTGCATGTAAACATTTAATCTGATCATTTTATTCTGATTGTGGAAAACTGACCTGACTGTTCATGTCAGCTGACTTTCATCCAGCAGACAGAAGTTTTCCTCCTGTTCTCTCGTTCTATAAAGAAGGAAGACACACAACCTGTGCCGCTTTGTAAAAAAAAAAAAAAAA